ATATAAATTTTGGCCCATTTCGCCCATTTTTCGCCCATTTTTTGGTCCCACAGACCAAAAACATGCATGTTAGACTGACTGGTGACTCTAAACTGTCTCTAGATGAGAGAGAGAGTGAATGATTGCTTGTCTCATTTGTCTCTGTGTGTCCCTGTGATGGACTAGAGACCTGTCCAGGGTGTCCCTGTGATGGACTAGAGACCTGTCCAGGTGCCTCTCGCACAGTGACTGCTGGATATGGACACCAGTGACCTCTGCGACCTGAAAAAGAAGAAGCGGATAAAGATACTGGATGGATGATCAATGAATCTATAATCTGACTTTTCATAACTTTGATTTCGGTCCTGATGCAGAGTTCACGTTTTATCGTGACTTTAGCGCACAAGCCCAGGTTTACGTGGAAACGTGGACAAACGTTGCTCGTGTTCAGGTTTTTTTTTACAACGTCGCCCATTTATTGAACGTCGCAGAATCTGAGATGCGTCCACCGCTGGCCGTCAGTGCAGAAGGAGCTGTTTGACTTGGTTTACGTTGTGTGCACGATAATCAGGTCTGTTCTCCGGAGTCCTGCGTTCCTCAACTCATTAACATTCTTTCATAATCAACTCAGAATCAAATCCGGTCCATGCTGAGATGCATCATCACAGATTATAACCTCCACCCTTGATGGCCACACGGCTCGCTGGTCACAACTGCCTGAATTTCAGAGATTTTGTAACAAAAAGGTCACCAGTTTTTGTATTTACCGTACATTTCGCTGTATAAGTCGCATGGTTTTTTTTCATAAATTAGCGTTCCTGCGACTTAAACAGCGGTGTGACGTGTACGGCAGCAAGTACGGTATTTATTTAGAGTTGCCAACAATCGCAGACCAAAGAGATTAAACATCAAAAGTTGTTTAAAGTTCAAGAACCTGCAGCTTTACAAACTTTATATTTCACCTCATTAGAAGTTACAGTAACAACATAAAACCAGTCGAACTGGGACAGAACGCCCCGACTGCTGGTCTACGTGCAATTAATGTTTTTTTTTTTTGTCCATAAACGGACTAGTGTCACTTGGGTCGGAGCTGGGCGGGACGTTTCAGGGACTGCAGGAGTCATTTTATGTGTTTTTGTTAAGTTGTTGCTGAACGGTTTCGTGTTACAGATGAATTTTTGCACAAAGTGTCGGAGACCTGGTGTCTCTGCTGAGACACTGGACAGGAGAGGACAGAACCAGGATCTGGATCTGTTTGTTTGGACCTGGTGTCACCTTTAGAGTCGCTCTGCTTCGTTTGGCAAGTTGAAGCTGGATGCTCGGAACAAACCGGCTGCTGAGGCTTGTTTCTTGTCCTCGTTTTTTTTATGTTTGTTTTTTAATCCGGCCAATCGCGTTGCAAACCCTCCACGTGTGCCCCGCCCCCTGCCCGCCTGTCAGCCCTCACACGTCTTCTACTTTAATTAAACGAGCTGCGTGTTATTGATCGAACCTTCCAGCCTGCAGCCGGTCCGATCAATGCCTTCTGTTGAACAAACGCCACAGATAACAACTGGAAACGTAACGTTGTGTTTCTGCTTCATCTGCTTCGGTGAAGCTCGTCGTCCCACAAACTCGAAGACGGCAGCAGATCTGGGATCAGTATGTTCCACCGCAGACGGACAGCAGAAACTTACCGGCCCGTGGAACAAAACTGTGGCTGCTAAAGCAACAATTTAACCTTTATATAGTGAAAATATAATCTCTTTTAATCCACACACTATTTTTGTTGAATACAGCACACCTCTGTTTCAGTTTAATAATCATTTCTGCATCGTCCACCCGGCATGTTGGTGAGTCCTGCTCAAAGGTTCCACCAGAGAAGATCTCAGTATTCAGATTTATGAACATGCAGAACCATGTACAGTATTTTTACTGCGTTTGTGAATTTGACTGCTTAGGAGAAGAACCACTTTGGCTGACGGAGGACTGTTGAGCGTGACCCAACCGTTCAGTTCGATTGTCTTTGTCGTCTCTCTGCCACTGAATCTGAAGAACGGAAGCGAACGCTTTCTGTCAACGAGAGCAGTCCGTCCCCGACTGTAACAGAACAATAAATATATGTTTTTATAGAAGCACCTTTTGCTCTTGTGTTATTTTGGAAAGACATCTTTGACTCGGGGCTTAATTTGAGCCGGATCCTGTCGGGACAAAATCTGGGAACTCTTATTTTGACAGGGTGCGTTCCGGTAACTGCTCGTATCCGGTAACTCTCAGGCTTACTAATAATAAAGTTATGAACAAATATGACTGCCTTGAATGAATAAAACTTATATTGGACTGAAAATAATTCCATAAACACTCATTTTAAACACAACAGCCACATACGAGCTGCCTCTTCAAGTAAGCGTTTCTGCTTCTACCCTTAAAAACAATCTCTGCCCCTAAAATGGTAAATGGACTGTACTTGGATAGCACCTTTCTAAATTATCACGGTAGTCGAAGCGCTTTACGCTACAAGCTGTGCCCTTATTTACCCATTCATTCATTCATTCACTCTTAACTATAGGATTTATCAAAAAGGAAAGTCTTCAAACTGGATAATGTGTCAGCCTCACGGACAGAAACTGGAAGTTGGTTCCACAAGAGAGGAGCCTGAGAACTGGAAGATCTTCCTCCCATTTTGCTCTAGGAACCTCAAGTAAACCTGCAGTTTGAGAGCAAAGTGCTCTGTTAAGAAAATATGGAACCATAAAATCTGTAATATAAGCTGGAGCTAGGTTGTTGAGGGCTTTGTAGATTAGAAGTAAGATTTTGAATTCAACTCTAGATTTGACAGTAAAGTTGCATTCGGGCCTAAAAATCCGACCCGGCCTGAAGCCACTTTTTCTGAACCCAACCGGATCCGATCAAATTAATTACAGGCCCGACATAGTTTTTATTAAGCTTTTACTGCTTTTGTAAGCAAATCAATTTAACATTTTTAAAATGTATTTCAAAGACAGGAAGATCTAAGATTTCTTGTTTCACCAAATGGATGTTAACATACAAAACTAATAGCCTCAAAAATCATCTCTGAAGATCGGCTATTCTACAGATGATCACAAATATTCTTAGAGCTAAATGATTTGGAAAAATCCAGAACACGGTTATTTTAAATGAACGCGCTGCTCGCGTCAGCTACTTCGCCGCAGATGACAGCAGGTGTGGACGCGGCCAGTGATCAGCTGATTCATCCATCCATCATCTTTACACGCTTCTTCATTTTCGAGTAGCGGGGGTCGTAGGTGCCCATGTCCAGCCATTACTTTACAAAAGGTGGGGGGCACCCTAGACAGGTCTCAAGTCCATTTCAACCAGTGGGTCAACGGACGCGTGCAGCCGGTGACAGGTGTCCATCTGAGCTTAATGCGACTTTTTAACCTCTTTAAACCGGCCGGTCGGACCTGCCTCCTCAACAAGTAGATAAACACAATTTTATATTGTGCATTCTTATTTAGTTTATTTGTGCTGTATGCTTCATAAAACCGCATCAAAGCCCGAGACCGGCCCGGCCCGCACATCAATCACATAACGGCCCGAATCCGGTTTTGGTTTTGGGTTAGAAGCGACGCTCTCGAGAGCTGGTGGTTCAAGGGTTTGGGAGATCTCTCAGATGTTATGACTCACCTCTGAAGAAAACAGATTCTGGCTCAAAAACACACACACGGGTGTCTCTCAAGGAAAAGTTGTTTTCTGAAAAACAGAAAAGTTTGTTAAACACATTCTAATATTTCATATGAATTCATTATAATGATTGAAAACGATAATCATCATTATTCATGTTTACACCTGTCATAGTCAAATAAAATAAACATGATTAATGATTTAAAAAAGACGTTCAATCTGATTGATGATTTTGTTTTTCTTAAAAGCAATAAAGAAAAGAGTAAACATTAGTCCAAGGACAGTGAAAACATGAAAATATCAGACCTTGTTCAAGTTTAGAGCAACTTTAAAAAACACGGCTCATGGTGCGTGGAAGACAACCTAAAGGTCAGAGGTCATAGTCAGGGGATCTTCATGCTGCACTGGGAGAAGTTTGAATGACGATGCTGTTGTTGTGACCTGCAGTTTCACTCTTCCACCACCAGGTGGCGCCATTCAAAAGGGAATAAATTGCTGCTCAAGCTTTGGACCGCCCACTTGTTTACTTTGACTTCATCATGTTTACTAATGCATTAATTGTGTGAAAAGGGATGACTCGTATGTAAAAATGTGCTTTTTGAGTTCAGAAGCACTGGTATCTAATTTGATGCAATCATATATAGTTGGTAAATAGATTCGATTGTTTTTCTTTTAATTAAAATAAAAATGTATCGTGTCTAAACTGAAATCATCCACGTGTCTAATGTCATATTCCGCATCATCATCATCTATCCGGACTCATTCCCTGCTGCCGGGGGTCACTGATGGATCAATAATCAAGCAGGATGTGGTCACATGGTCCCACTGGGGGCTCTTTATCAAGTAAAGAAAATGACATGAAGTTGCCTTTGAAGCTCAGCTCAGTCCACCAAGATTCAAATCAAGGCCAGATTAAATAATTATCTGTTTGTTGTAATCTGACACTTGTCTGCGCAAAACTGAAAATTAATCCAAAGCAGAGACGGTTTGTGTTTTCTGATCAAATCATGAAACAGGAGAATATTCTGCAGATGGAGGGATGGAGACACGTTTAGTCATCTGATGTGTGAGTGTGTGTCCTCCATCAGCAGCTTCACACCGAACCGTCCCCAGCACCGAGGAGGAGGAGGAGGAGGAGGAGAAGCAGCACCGAGGAGGAGGAGCTCAGGGATGCTGAGGGGAGAGACCCGACAAGTTTCAGGATGTCTCTGTCCCAGTCTCACGGTGAGAGTCTCACCCCATGATCGCATTGCGTAACCACCGTGTGCGCGCGTGTTTACGTGCAGTAGAGGGAGGGGGGTGTGAGCAGGAGGTTCCGAGCGGTCCTGAGGTTCGGGTTGCACTGCAGGAGGGGGGGGGCTTTGGTTTCTGCTGCAGCAGAGACGCTTCAGTCTGCAGGAGCAAACCTGAGCTGAGGAGGAACCCTCGCTGCACAGCACCTCCTCTTCCTCCCTGATACAACAGGAGCATGCTGTTCATCTACCCTCCTCCTCATCTTCCTCCTCCATCTCTCCTAGTACCCCCATCCTCCTCCTCCAGGAGCAGATAAACCGGACCGCCGCCGGAGTCAGCGGATGTAGAGAGGCGCCTGAAGACCGGAGAGAGCGGTAGAGTTGCTCTCCTCCTCCTCCTCCTCCTCCTCCTCCTCCTCTTCCTTCCTACTGCAGCAGAAGAAAACTCCTGGTAAGCTCTCCCACACCGTCAATCTCTGCTCTCCTTTCTGACACACACACCTCCTGCTCTGTTTGTTGACACTGATGGGCTTCATTAGTAAGGGCCCTGTACACCTCCATGTGGCTCAGTTGGAGCAGGTTGGTGTGTGTGTGTGTGTGGGGGGGGGGGGGGTCTGATGCTCACAGCAGCCTTCAGGGGCAACAGGGGGGTGCAGGACAACAGATGCATCCTGATGCTGATCCAGCTGAAGGAGCTGAGTGTGGAGACGGGAGGGGGAGAAGTTTTGCTCGACTCTTCAGTTTTTCCTTTGACCGCCCAAAGTGAGAGCATCCCCCGAGTGAACGTGTCGGATCAGAGCGCACGGAGTCTCTGAGGGTCCTCGGGGTCCTTGAAGCAGTTTTCATTAGTTTTCTCTTTTTTACTGCGAAGAGCAGATGAAGGACCATCAACAGGAGGCTGCTCGTCACACAGGTCCCACACCTTCTGCTGCCAAAACAGCTTGAACTTCTGAGACCGATGATGACGTCACCACTGGACTAAACTGCTGACAGATCAAACACTATGCAAACTGCAGTAACTGGGGGGGTCAAAAGTGGATTTATAGTAAAACTTGTTGTCCCGTCGGTGTGTCGGAGCAGAGCTCAGACCTGAGACCTCCCACTCCTTCAAAGTGTGAGATACACAGCTGATGTGCGTCTAGCTGGACACCCCCTGTTGGATGACGTTAAGAGTCTGTCTCAGTGTGAGAGAGTCGTGCTGCTCCATCCTCCTGAGCTGCTCATCATCTCATGTAACATCTAACACATGCACACTCGTCCTCCTGTGCCTGAACTCTTCAGAAGAGAACCGTCATGGCAGCAGGACCCTGGAAGATGAGCAGCTCAGAGAAACGCCCGCCGGCGTCATCAGAAGGGTTTTGGGGCCTTTAGCCTTCAAGTCTCTCGTGATGGGTTGTTGTCCGGAGAACCCGTGTGGTGAGAGAAGTTTGCTGCAGCTCCCATTGCTGAGATCATCACATCATGACATCACAGTGATGTTCGCTGGAAGGGTTGTGATCGATTAATATCTTACCTGTTGTGCATAACTAGCTCAGATGGAGAAATAGTTTCATCCATCTATTCTGTGATCCGTCACATTTAACGAAGTGAACGGTCCAGAACGTCCCTGAACATTTGGTCGTTCATTCAACCTTTACTTCTCCAGGTTAGTCTCACTGAGCCTCGGGGACTCATTTACAACAGTGGATAAAACGATATGAAATGAAAATGGTTGGAAGTTGATCAGTTCAGACTCTAAAGAGATGAGGAAACAATCTTTGTCTTTAAATTTGTTTTCTCTTTGCAACGAAGCTCCGTCAGAAAACAGACAGAAAGAGTCGGCCCCGAGGGAGCGGAGGAGGTGTCACACTCCTCCGTATTCATAAACTCTGATGACGTC